CCTCCCGCCCCCCCGCGCACGCCGACATTGATTTAACGCGCGACACAGATACGCTGATTTAACATGGAAATGAGAGCGGGGCCGAGACCCGGGCCGGGCGGCAGGGTCGTGTTATTGTGAGAGAACGACACCCTTAATAGGACTGGAGGAGTGGTTCGGGTCGGGTCGGCTGCAACAGCAGGGACCTGGTGGTGGTGGTGGTGGTGGTGCTGGTGCCTGCTCGCCGAGGCGTTTGGTATAACTAGGGAGCGCGCCAATCCGCGCCACGCAACGCCACGCCACGCCACGCCACACAGCCGCTCTGAATCACGGGGTCGTACTCGGAGAACGCGCGGCAGCGGGTTTGTCGCAAGGTAGAGAGGCGGACCGGGAGGTACACCGCAGCGGCGCAGCGCTCGCTCGCTCGCAAGCAATATGCTTCTTGTCGAGCACACAGAGCGGGTGAGAGAGAGAGAGAGAGGGCAGGAGGTAGAGGGGGGCGACTCTTAATAAAATGGGCAACGAATACCGTAATGAAATGGCGGGTGGGTCGCAGCGGGATTAACCTTGTTGCTCTGGCGCGGTCGCGGTGTGCAAGCCCCTCTGCCGCCGCTGTGGCCGGTGCCGCAAGAGAGAGAGAGGGAGAGGGAGGGGCTTTTGTGTTTTCGTGTAAAACTTGTCGTTAAGGACCCCCAGGCCGGGGGCCGGGGGCGCACGCCCCGCCGCCGGCCGCGGCACACCTGGCCGGCACGCCTCGAGCGTGGCCCACGGGAACTCGGCCGCGCCAAGCGCTGCGCGCCCCTTCGGCCCGGCGGCCCCGGCCATAGTCCTGCTGCCGCCGGATGTTTGGCTAATCAGGCGAAGACATAACGCTCAGCTTCCTCCGCACGTAATCTTAAGTGCCGCCCGCGCTACTGTTGGCCCTTATTATGTAACACGGCGGAGCCGGCCGAGCCGAGCGGGGAGTAAAAGTTCAGGAGCGGGCGGTGTTGCGGGAACACGCCGTGCGCGCGCGTGGCTAGGCCGCATCCACCATGGAGCCATACACCTCATGGAGCGGAGTCAAAGGCCGCACAGGGGGTCTTCTCTTTCACGCATTGTCGCTGTGTGCGGTAGCGACGGGCACCGCGCGGGCCCCGCACCGGCCCTGGCCACGACCAGCACGACCGACCAGCGCCCGCCACCGCCAGCCGCTGCATCGTCCCGACAGCTGAATAATATACGAGCGGTTAAGGTTTCGCGTAGGTTGGCGCGGCCCCGTCCCGTGGCGGTGTGTGTGGCGGCGCGGCTGGCGTTAGGAAGCTGCGCTGCTCCCGGCCAGATGTGATCCGAGTGCGACCCCGCCTGCGGCAACACGCTCATTTGGAACAAGGGAGGGCACCTTGCATTCCGGGAATAACGCTTGTGCTACACAGCCCCACATGCAATGGGCGCTTGTCTCTCAAAGTACAACCAGTTTTCCTTCTTTGGTTTGGTTGGTTGTTTGGCCCGCGAATGCAAACGCGATGCCCTACAACGCAATTGTAAGCTCGGAGCGGTGAAAAAGGGGAGCTCCGCGGATGTGTCCGCTGATTGCAATCTTCTTTGTACCGCGCACCGTATGGAGTTTCGGTGCACGCACTGTTCTCGAATGCACACTAAATCTTGCAAACTTTGGCATTATGCGCCCATTATTGGTGTAATGACACGACGCGGGCCTCGTCCCTCGCGTTCATCTGAGCTGCCCGTGTGCAGGGCGGAGGCGGGCAGGTGGGCGGGCGGGCAGGCCGCAAAACTTTTGACCGGGGAGCGGCGGTGCACGTCTCTCCTCTTAATCTGAGCCCCCTTCCCCACCCTCCTCCGCACTCCGGGGCATGGCTTCTCAAACCTGCACAAGTTTAGGATAAGTAATTAGATCCTCCCCCTCGGCCCCGCCTATGCGCCTACCTGCGGCCTGCGGCCTGCTGCAAGCGGTCTGCTCGGCACGCTGCATCCCAATACGTATACTCCCCCCCCCCCCACCTCTACTCTCGGTTTACACCTCGTTTAGTTTACCGACAAAACCCCGCGCCCACTTTTCTGCAACCGGATACGAGCTCGGCTCGACGAGTGGTGCTCCAAATCGCGTGGCACCTCACCAGTAATGAGAACCAGCAAAAAGATTGGTCGTCGCGGTTCGTACCCTACAACTAACAAATGAAATTAGCAATTTTGTCGATAGGCAAATCGAAATTTGTTGCGGTGAGTTACAAACAATTTGTCAATTTGTCAGAACTTAGCTGTCGTTGCAGCAGGAACGAAATAATTCGTTTGTTTCGACTCAATAAGAAAAATACCCGTTGAGTTTCAGATCGAACGATTGGTTCCTCCAGTGCAGGCCTCGTTCTAGCAAACCAAACTCTTGGCTCCGACGGCCAATTAGTTGATATTTTATTTTCGTGTGTAGCTACACTTGATAGATACCATGGAATTCTGTCATCTGCACCCCCCCCCCCCTCTTCTGCATCCCCGGCGCAGAGCGGCTGGTGGGTCCCAGTGGATGTCTAGCCGCACTGATGTTTGGCGCCGCCTGGATATTGAGAACCCACAGCTGGTGCTGGGGCGTTAATATCTCGCCGTGACCCGTGCCCCGCTGCCCCGCTGCCCCGCTCCGTACCGCACTGTTTACTGACTGATGCAGCCCGGATGTGATTAGAGTGACGTCATCACACTGATTACATCGCGATGGACCACCG